CTTCCCAAATGGCCATTTGGTATGAGCTGAACTGAAAAAAAATTCAAGCTGTTTGTTTTACTTTGAAACCATGCAGGAAGAATAGGTACTATTAGTCGAAAAACAGGAGCTGAGCAACCTGGAAAGCCTCTGTGCCTGGCTTAAACAAGGAATAGTGTCTGACCTTAAGGGAGTTAACACTGGAAATGAACTGGGCTTGGAAGTTTCAACATACACAGCAGACTTCACTAGCTTAGAGACAGCAGTTTGTCTTTCTCCAGCACCAAAGCAGAACTCAGTTAGACCCTTTGGTTCTCTATGCTAAGGCATGAGGTGAGTTGGGACCCCTGAAATAAGATCAAAAAATGGGTAAGACAAAGCTTCCTGGAGTCAGACAGGGGTAAGTCCAAAACACTGTGCTCATGTTCTGACACCAGAGGCTCTAACACTGTCAGGGCTACAGGTTTGGGACTTTTACACACTCAAGATACAGATCCTCGATTGCTCACTGGATAGTAAGAGCCTGCATTTATTTCTAAAGCACCAAGCAAGCCTTCAGTATTTAAGAGCAGAAGAAAAGGCAAAGCCCACCTTTCCGCAACAGCCTAATATACTAGAGCGCTTATTCAGGCAGCTTAAGGTTCAGACCCGTCAGTAGGTTCAGGTATGTGTTTCTGTAAGGGACGATGAGGACCACTTCCCCCTCATAGTGGCTGAAACTATGTCAGGGTGCCCATAGTATCCATAGGATGTTGACAGAGCCATAGGACATCCAGCTAAAGGTAGACATGCTGATGAACAACCAGAACCATTCCGACTTTCTGAGCTCTCGCAAGCTCTCTGATTCTCTGGGATTCCCGACTTGCAGATCAGCTAAAGACACCGAGTTAGATTCAAGATTCTCGTGTCCTAACAGTGAGAACATTGAACGAACATTAAAGGCTGGTGTAAAGGACAGTCTGTACCACAGTTAGTTCAGAAAAAGTAATTTAATCCTTTGCCCACAGATCAATCAGCTGACTTTCCCTTCAATATCCATTTAAGTGTTCTCTTTCTCCTTTGCTACTTTGGTCACTTTTACTCTTTTTTAAATTATTTCTCCATTCTCTTACCTGTGAACCTTAAGACTCTGTAGTTTGTTTTTCCTCAGTTCTCAATGTCTGATTTATTATTGATGTTGCCAAGAAAACTTCCAATAAACTGGCCTTTTTAAGTCACAAATCAAAAATACTGTCATTATCTTGGATTTCATACATTTTAATTCAACAAGAGGATCACCGAGTGTGGGAAAGTGAGCACGTGAGCATTACAAGAGTGCCTCATGAGAAAAATCCCAGCAGGGTAAAGAATTTTCCACTGATACTATTTTTGGTTTCCCCCAACCTGTGCTGCGTACAAAACTGCTGGTCCTCGGTATGTCCTTGGTATGCTCATGAGGAGATTCCAACATACAACTGGTTCCTAAACTTAACAGGCTTAAACCTTAGATTATTGTTAAGAATTCTCTATAATGAAGACCTGCTACATCGGGTTCCCTACCATTTCACTGTTAGAATTCACCTTTCTCTTGTAGTCTTGTCTGTTAAGGACTTTTCTTCCCATCTCCACATTTTACTTTCTTAGATCTAGCCTCCTTGGTCCACCAGTCATTGAATCCAGAGCATCTGAGCCAAACTTGAAGCACCGCACTCTCTCCTCCTTTCTTGAACCTACAAATATGTATACAAAACCTCTGTAACAGAGAGACACGATCTTCATTAAAACCAGATCTGCCTCACATTATAAACTGGGCCACTGCCAAAGTCTGGGAGAACACAGAGCCAGAGCCCTGCCTGGGGTTTTAGCGTAATGGCAGGATGCGACTCCTGCCAGGTCCAAGTTGACCTGAAATCTCCATTTGCAAATCTCCCACCCCCAAATAAAGACAGAAAAGGACAGTTTTCAAATAATTTATTAGGAATTTAAAACTGAAATCTGGAAAAAGGGTTACAGGTGTGGAGAGAACATTGGAGTGTAATAACTTACTGGCTTAAAAACACAGCTTTATTTCTTTTAAAAAAAATGCCCACCCTGAAACCGGAGCCCCAGCCTCCAGGCAGTGGCAGCACTGGCCAGAGAGTGAATCACAGCCCAGCAGCAGCACAGCTGGCCTTGGATGTCTGGAGGGGGCACGGAAGCAGTTCAGCGCATATACCAAGAGGGAGGAAAGCGCTGTCCGCAGACCCAAATTTGAAGTATATAGAATAAAAATAAACCCAATAAAATGCAGCTCTTCTTTAATTAGGAAATATTTAAAAAAACAGACATACAGACTCTTGTCTCAGTAACAAAAATTATTGCTTTGTGTTTTCAGTACTGATCTGTTAAGTACCCTCTTACCTAAACAGAACTCTCCAAACACATCGCCCAGGTCAGGACAAGCTCCAGCAGACGGGGCAGGGGTGGAAGAGAAGAAGGGCCCTGCAGGCACTGTGGCCCTCCCAGTCCTTTTCTAAACGCCCCTCTCCCTCACAGGGGCTTAGTTTGGGGGAAGAGAGGGAATGATTCTTAAAACTTAAGATGAAGCTGTTATTTCCCTGGGAAAAGAGTTTGGCTGCATCTTAATAAAAGGCTTAATCACCCCCCTTAACAAGGTCTTTGGTTCACTGAAATCCAGACCCAAACCTGCCCTGTGTACTCCTGCCGGAGGCTTCCCCTGGCAGTCGGCTTGTTAGCAGGGGCCCGGACCGTGCCAGGGGAAGCCCCGGCAGGTTCTGGAGAAGGGACCAGATCACCCACACAGAGGACAACAGACAAATTCCCACAGTCTTCAGAACACAGAGTAAAGCAAACGGGAAGCTGCAATTCTATAAGTCATATAATCCCTGAGAAGCCCTTAACCCGCCCCCAAATCACCACCCTAATGCTTTTCTCCCCTGTTAATGACTCCCCAACCCAGCGCCCTGCCCTTCAGAGAACAACCACCCAAATCTCCCCTTGGCCCTGGCCAACACCCCTTCTGATACCCTCACCTCCGGAGGAGGATCCCCTTTCCCAGGAAATCTTGACGCAAGCGATAGTGTTTGGAGAGTGAATTCCTTTCAAAGTAACCAAGACAAGCAACGGCGTAAAGCCCTTCACCTAAAGCCAAACCAGACGCTGGCACTACGGAGCCCAGTGATGGAGTCTGTACATCGAGCGATTGGAAGCAGCTTTAACCCGCTCAGCAAAACAGCCGATGGCCGGTACGTTTCACCCCCGCCCCCACCCACCCCCTTTCATCTCATCAGAGGTCTTAAAATCTTACAGTAAAAGGTGTACAAAAAAAGAACGGAGTCCTGTCAGGATTCTGCTGGAGAGTATTGCTCACACTGCGGCACCAAGTCCAGGACCTGGAGCTGCTCCTTGGAGCCAGGCTGCAGGCGGCAGCCAGGTTCAGCTCGCGATATTTACATATTATACAGGAGGAAAAAGAAAACCCCACGTAAAACTAAACCTAGGAAAAAAAATTCTTTCAGCTGTAAGGATAGTGTTTTTCACTTAGCAAAATATACATTTGTTTTGTTCCATAGCGATGTCCAACATTTTCGGATCCTTGGAGTTTCACACTTTTCAAAGCCTCACATTTACAAAACAGAAACAATTAAAAACAGTTTCTTTAAAAAAAATAGAAATACATCAGTTCCTCTCAGCCTTTGCTCTCTCTGTGTCTCTTTCTTCCCTTCAGAACTGCATTCTTGTTACATACCGTGCTTTAAAAACACTGACGACAACAACAACAGAGTTGAAAATATTCAAAACAGTTTCAAAGCCAAATAAAAATACTCCTCAATAAAAACTACCTAACACAATCACAAAGCCAATTCATAAAATATGTCTACTAGCTCGGGAAAGAGCAAACAACAAAAAGAAGGGGTAGCCCCAAAAAAAGATAAAAAAATAAAATAAAAAAATAAAACTAACAGCTAATAAAATAAATAAAAGAAGAACTGGTGGGCTGGGGGCAGGGAGGGGGGAAGCGTAAACCGTCGGTGGTTAGTATGAAAGCGAGATGATCTCCTTGGGTTCAGTCCAGTGTGGTCTGGTCAAAGGGAGAGATCAGGGCAGGGCGGCAGGAGCCTGGCAGCCAGCCGGCAGTGTGCAGTTTGATTCAAGAAAAAGGTAACCTTGGCTCATCCCCCGAGGCTCACCAGATCCTCCAGCCGCTCTCCTCGGTTAGGTCACTGGGGAATCTGCGGGACACAGCAGGGGAGGGATGGGACAGGATCTAGAACAACCACCAGCTTCTCTCTCGAGGTTTTCTTCCGGTGTGATCCGACAGAAATACACGATACCCAAACTTGCCCCAACGCGGACTTGCTCTGCACCTCACTGGCAGAGTGACGGGGCACGGCAGAGATGCTTCTATCTTTAATGGCAACACGCAGGCCTGCGAAACAAGGCCTCGCACGCTGTGCAGCCTGCCTGCCCGCACCTGTGGCACTTCTGGTTCACAGGAGGCCTGTGACACAGCGGGGTTCAGCTGTTTCTCCAGCACTCAGCTCAGTGCAGCCCTGCCAGGCTGCCATGGGCTCCTGTCTGGCCACTGTTCCCCGCAAGTTTTTGCCCTCCATTTTGAAAAGCTAGGCATTCTTTTATTTTTAGTTTTAAGCCAGCTAACTTCAGCCACGTTTGCAAAGCAAACGGAGACCATTCACCAGTTCCCTCTCAGGCCCATCCGAGGACCAGAAACAGAACTGACCAACCTCAGATCTTCCTTCTGCCCATCTCCCAGGCAGGAGAGGAAAAACCTTGTTCCCCAGGGACAGCAATCTCAGCAGCAGTCAGAACAACCAGCTGCAACAGGGGAGGCTTCCCCAGCCGCACAGGTGAGCCAAGCTTGTGTCTCAGGCTCACCACTGGGTTGTGATTCTGGTCAACCCTGCAGACCTTTCCTCTTTCTGTCAGTGCTCCTATTTCCTTCCCCTTTGTGTCCAGACACTAAGTGATCTCTCCACAGCACTCCCAGTCAGGGAGCGCGAGGTAGGAAGCCAACCTGCCAAGCCTCTGGTGCAAAAGAGAGCCCCAGGCTGGCCGCAGGACCCCTCCCACAGGCTGGGGAACCTCACAGCGGCATCCACAGCTCCTGCTGAGAGCCCAAGCACAGGGACCAGCTCAGAACTTCACTCCTCTCGTTACCCGTTCCTGTTCGAAGCTGTCTTACCTCCTGCCTCCTTGGTACCCAGCTTCAGTGATACCCATTGGTGAAAGCTGTTGCAATCAAGGGACCCTGCAAAGAAAGAGTTAAAACCCAACTCTTAAGCAAACAAAAGAAAAGTGAAGGAAAATTACTACTACAACAAATTCAGTCATGGCTCAGATGTTGGGAAAGCTGGTTTCAGTTGCAGGTGCCAGGTCTAAAGAGCACATCGCCCTGCAGGACACTGCGTCAGAGCTGAGACAGGCTCTTGGAAAGTCTAAGCCAGACCAGGGAAAGGTATGGACATCAGGACCTCGCGTGGTGGTCAGGGAGAGCCAGCAGAGCCCAGGAATGCAGGCTTTAAGTGAACTGCTGCATCCTGCACCATCCATCCATGGTCTAGGGCTCAGCGGTGGCATGACAGATGCTGTGGCAGGTGGCATTTCTTAACCAGAAAGCAAACTGCGGGCTGAGAGGGGGCTGCCCACCACTGCTCACCTCCATCACCACATGGAGACACAGCCCCTTCCCCTGGCCGTGCCACTCTCCATCTTCCTCCCCCTGCACAGAGCCCGACAGGGAACACTCACCCCTAGGCTGTGGCCAAAGCCGGTGCTCGGGGCTGGACTGGCAGCGCTGATGTAACTGCTGACCCCTGAGTCCTGGTTGGCGGCTCCGTAAAGCTCTGCCATCGGCCCAGGGCTGGTGGTGCCCAGAAATCCACCGGTGCGACTCGGGGTGGAACCTACAGGAGGCAGCAAAACTACAGAGTGATGATCCCAAAAATGCAACCCCGTCCCACCCCCCTCCCTGCACCCCGTCGCAAACCTCAGTGACAGGACACCGCGCTGGGGAGGAAAGGAAAGTGGCAGTTACCTGTCCCTCGCACCACGGCTGCCGCAGCCGCCGCTCCCCCCCGCCCCCCCGGCGCTGCCGCAGCCGCTGCTGCTGCCATTGGTCCATACGCAGTGAGGGGGATCGCTGGAAAAGAAGGAACAGGCATCTCAGGGGCGTTGTGGCTACATGGGAAACTCCTCAACAGGAGCCTTCATTTCCTGCTGCAAAACACCAGGCCCACGCAGACGTATCAGCTTTGTGCATCACACAGGACATGCAAGGATGACAACAGGGGATTGCACGGCCCAGCATTTATTGGTATCTTTTTGCACAGCAAATGTCCGGGGGAACTCACTAGCCAGGCTCTGCTAAGCCCAC